ATTGCTACTGTCATATGGACATCTCCAGCCCACTCCACGTTTAGGCGACCATTGTTCCCGACAATAATTTCCCTTGATTTCGGCTCTCGGGACTCACACAAATTATTTGAAGACATTCTCATGTGGGCAGATGCTTCAGAGTCAATAAACCACTCATTTGCAGTTTCCATTTTAGCAACAAGTGATGTCGACATTAGCAACAAATTATTTTTACCTTGTTTTGACTTCGTTGGACATTTATTTGCATAATGCCCCTTCCCATTGCATTCAAAACAGTTAACCGACTTTTTGTTTAACTTTGCGTAGCGATTGGTTTTCTGCTTCTTTGATATAAGCGCCATCCCATCATTGTTTGTAGGTTCGTGTCTGATTTCCAACAACAAGTTTTTGTGTACAATGTCGGTAATCAGCGCTTTGCCATTATTTGCAAGAGCCATTACCATTCACTCGGCAGACCACTCAGCATTATTTGCGCAACGATGTCATCCGGAATCTTCGTACCTGATTTGTCCAGCTTTTGTTGCGTTCAAGTTATTTTATTGACGTAGTCCTCCATAGAGGAACAATGAGCCAATTCTAGTCTCATCAAGTATTTTAAGAGATCCATGCGACGTAGGGCCCCATTGTCCTCGCAGTCTCCAGCGCTTCCCACGCAACTTTTGCGTTTGCACAATTCTGCACATACGAGTAATTTGCCGTCGAGAAGCTGTTTTTCATGGCAGAAATACACTCGTTTGCCATTGCCTATCGAGGGACGACCGCTGTTAAGAAAAAACCTTTTTTCTATATTTTTTTTTGCGATGTTGCTTTGACCAGGCTTGAACGCAGGTGCTGTGGAGTGGAAGCGCGCACTGCTTATGCATACTTCGCATAAATTTCAAACCGTCAGGTGAAAATCTGTTGAATGCATTTTGTATGTATTCTATCACCCAGAAATTAGCAGAACTTGTAAAAAATTAGCGATCTGTTGAGTTTAGATTTTGCCTCACGTTTTCTTAAGTGGCATTTCAATTACAGTGGTACCAATGGGAATATTTTTACAGAGATGCACGGAAAGCATAACTGCGCTTAATTTTTCTCTCTGACATCAGGATTTTTTTTAATTGATTGAATAAAAAAATGATTTAAAAGATATGGTGCATTGTAGAGTAACAATATTAATTAAAAAGAAAAATTCTGTAGAATTGAAAAAAAAAATAATTTTTTGGTGCACTAGGACGAATAATTGTTGTCAATGTCCTTTTAAAACTTTAGCCTTAAATATCCTTGGAAATTTCCAATATTTCTTTTTGAAAATAATATATGTCAAGAACTAATATGTACCACATCCTCGAATTCGTCCCTTTAACTTTATTAGTTTTATTCAACAATTTTTATTGAGCTTGAGGCCGTTTTTAATGAAAAACTTATTGTGGAAAAGCAACAATAACGCTGTACGGCAAAATCAACTTTTTCTGGGTATTGGACCAAACCAATTTTTTTAAGAGATTGAGTCATAGGTAAAAAAGTAGTTTCTTCCGAAATCGAGATATGGGCCTTCGAAGTTCGAAATAGGACCTTCGGTAAAAAATTATATTTAATTATTGCATATAAATAACTAAAAACCTAAAAATATAGACGTAGTCCTCTTTTTGCTCTTATTTAAATGGTGGATAACTTTTTTTGTGCAAACTTATATTACAGGTGTTATAAGGGGTCAAAGTTCAGGTCTTCGAGAAATTAAATACCTTATAATAATAATAATAATAACAGATTGGCGCTTACACATACGTTAGTGTTTGGCCGAGCTTCTCCTCCGATTTGCTGCGTGCGCCTTGATGTTGTCACACAAATCGGAGGGACCTACAGTTTTACGCCGACTCCGAACGGCGATTGTATTTTTATGAGAAGCTGTTTTTCATAGCAGAAATACACTCGAAAGTTTGCCAGTGACTGACGAGGGGCGACCGCTATTAGAAAAAAAAAACTTTTTTGTTGTGTTGGGTTGAACCGGGCTTGAACCCAGGCCCTGCGGAATGGACTTTTTTCCCCCGGGCCTAGAGTTATCAACTCCAGAGTATATTTCATAAGATGCTGATAAATCCCAAATCACAAAACAAGTGAAATACTATTTAATTTCGTGCAATTATAAGTTCAGTTGAACTCTTTGAAATAATCAATTTTTTTAAGCCTTCCATTCTAGGGGCACAAAACTGTGAGAAATAATGTGAATTTTCCCAAACACCTGTATCGCTTTGCGAATGTTCTGCACATTGCCAGTATCGGTTGCCAGCGCCGAGCGATCGTTCAGCGTGCTATCAAGGATAAAAAACTATCATCGTTCTTGTTCAACCCAGAGTCGAGTTTCAGGATTGGCCACGTTATGTTTAGAATGTGAGTTAGCAAGGAAATTCGATCTCTCTGCTATCATCAAAGCCTTTGCCTCAGCTAGAGCCAGGAAGGCAAAATTCTGAGAATTGTGTTAATAGTTTAAATAATTTGTAAGGTAAACTGAGTGAATAAAATTGTCGGTGTTAAAGTTTTTTCTCTGATTCTTTCATTCTTTATCACTAACAAATCAATTGTCCAATCATAATATTCAATATATGTACTGCCGTCCAACATAAGAAAGTGGTTAACTACATAAGAAACCCATTGCAACTACGGCTTTTATGATTTGAACGGCAGGTTACTATGATATTCGTATTATTATTTATCCCATAAAAACTAAATTTTAGTGTGATGGGGGGAGGGGGGGGGGAGGTCATGTTTAGGGGCCCACATTCGAGATTCCCCTGGGCCCGAAATTCATCTCTACGGCCTTGCTTGGGAGTCCACAGAAACGAAAGGCGTCAACTTCCGGTCAATTTCAGGTCGCTCTTCTCCAGATTTCAGTGTATGTTTGGGGTGTGTCTATAGATTTTATATACATTTTTTCCCTCTGTGTAGTAGCTTTGTTTTGATAAATATTAAGCCCAATGGAACAAAAACTAATAATTCAAGGCATTTTCTTGGAACTCAGCTTCACCCAATAACAAAGGTGACTTTTTCCTTTCAACACCCAGTAAAAGTTCTGGACGGGACAAGATATGTAAGAAATGTAAAGGCAGTGTCACACGATTGTGCATTTGCTCAAAATTTGGTGCAAATCGTTCCCAATCGTGTAAATGCACAAATATTATTTATTCCAATCACGAAAACCAATTCTTCGATTTTTTCAATAGAAGTTACATAGCTGTATTGCATAGTACAGTAAAAACAGGTAGAAGCCAATTTGACGTCAAACCTACAAAAGTCAAAGTTCTCGGGAGAGTAAAAATAAAAATGAGCGTGTGTAAGGAAAAATAATAAATTACATTTCACTGGTTGACGTTTTTAAGTAAATTAGAAGTTGATTTTAATTTATTTATTTTCTTTAGTTAAAATTTCGCTGCAGCTCTGCCCCACAGCTGCTTTCGTAACGCTCCTTACGCGAAGTTCATTGACGCACGTTAAAAAAAAATTAGTGGTATCTGCTTTATATTCAACACTACATAAAAAACAACGCTTCAGGTGTTATATTTTTAACACATACACTAAATATAAACCGCACAAGACTACAAAAATTCAAATGTTAATTAAAAAATGTTATTAACGAACATTCAAAAAAAAAACAACGACATGACATTCAAAGCGTTACGAAATATAGGAAATAAAAGAAAAACAAGTTGAAGTTTAAAAGTTTGGTTCTCATGAGAGCAACGTCATTTTGGCTTCTACCTGTATTTATGTGCCTTGGCTGTATTGTACGAATCGTGGGGCTAAAAAAATGGGTTTTCGAAATTTTTTTAATTTGTACCAACACGCCAATTTAAAAAAGTGTACAAATCTGTACGAAGGTACCAATCGTGTGACACTGCATTAACAGCTTAAACATCTTAAAAGCTGAACCCGGAATCTGAAATCCATTGTTTAATAATGCAATCATTAATAAGTTTAAACAAAGGTTGTCATACATACGTCTGCTTTTATTTATATTTTTTTTATATATTTTTCTGAAAAGACAAAAATTTTTTTGAACAAGGTGCATACAACTATCCTATCAATTAAAGGAATAATCCTGGATACTCGCTTTGGGATACATCGTTTTTTGCGAGTATTAATGGAGTTTAAAATGGACTAGTCTTGCTTTTTGTTCTGAAATCATGACTCAGGGAGCACTGTTTTATTGCTCGCTTAGCAGATCTCCCATTTGACTCCTGCCAACTGTAAGAAAAAATTTGCAAAATTACCCTCCAGGGTTAAGAGTTGTTTGTTGAGTTAAAGTTTTCTTAAGAATAATAACAAAAGTGAAAAGGTGATAGTTCTATTTTTCAATCTCGGGAATGGGCATATAAAAAGGTGCTCGGCCGTAAGGACATGCTATATTGGAAATTTGTGGAGAATAATCTTTTGATGATAGTGTATTTTACTGGGTTGCACGTACATACATACATATATACATAAATTTGTTTAGGGGTACTTAATTAGTGTTGGAGTCCATTTGCTTTGATTCCATTTGCTCTCAATCGATGCGCTTGTAGGAGCCACAATGTTGAAGAATGATAGGTGTTTATAGGAGATTGCGGCTTGGCTTACTACATTCACCAAAAACTAAAGATACAAAACTCGATGTCAAGAAGAACGAATCAAAGCAAACACGATACACGATACGATGTAGTTGTTGCTACAATGCTTTGCGAGTGTAATACACATTTGCTTACATCAGTGGGTGGTACTGCGGCATCGCGCCAGTATTTTCATTACTTCTATGAATGGCACACTTGGTATGCACAAGAAACCAATACTGGCAAAGCGATTGTTGTTCAGCCTCTTTTTGGCGCCCCTTTGGCGGAGGGGGTGGCAATGGCGCATAGAGTAGGTATGCATAATTCCTGCTGTATTACTGGTGATTGCATGTTTCTGTTTTTTGGGGTTGCAGACACATGTCCGTTTTGCTTTTGTCATGGTTTTATGATAAATCTCAAATGGCAAGCTGAAGAGCAAGCATCGCGAATTTGTGGCGAGTAACATTTGGTGTAGTGTAATTATTTAGTCATGATACGGATTGAGACCGACGAAATACTTTTGATCGAAAGCAATTCAAAAATAGCTTCCAGTGCTTCGCTAAATTTAAAATTTTAAAGCTGTTTAGTTAGTGTGGGAAAGTAGCGAAAATAATTTGTGATAAGAAATTGTGCAGAAAAAAATTGTGACCGAATGTACATATGTATATCGAAAACAATTATTAACGGGATATACATAAATACATAGGTACATAGGTACATATGTATGTATGTACATACAGAAGTGTTTTTGTGTAAGCTAATCCAACTGCCCCTAGCAAAGTCAGTGTTGCTCTGGTTTTATTAAGGGTTTAATAAAATCAAATAATCAAACTAAAATGAACAAAAATGAGCATTCTCCCGGAACATGTTCTACCCCGCAAGGTACATATGAACATAGATACATAAATGTGTTATAATGGTCATAGTCTTGAACTGATCAAGCAGATGAGATACATACATACATAAGTTAATTTTTTTTTGTTTAAAACTATCTTCAGAGACGCGTGCCTCCTAATCTATACTAGAAAACTATATACATATGGTCAAAATTTTGGAAACGAGGAACTCACCAGCCAACTCGTGAGATATAATTCGTTAATATACATATTAAAGCAACCCAGCCAGTAAAGAAACGCAAATTTTGCCGACAGTGCAGTGCAGTAAGTTCAATTTTCCGTACCCGAAAACGAATAGAAAAAACTCCTACAGTTATCATAAATTTTCGTATCCGGAAAACGTTCGAAACGTTCGAAAAAGATGATGGCATTTGAAAGCAATAATTGTCATAGTTGCCAACTTGGTGCTTTAAGCACTAGATTTAGTGCTTTTTGAAAATTAAAACGCCAAAAAAAATGGTTTAGTGCCTAGTGCCCTTTTTAGTGCTTTTTTCTGCACTAAAATTTCCGAATTTACAAGAATCTACAAATTTAAATGCACTAAAATGCAAACCATGATTGATAAAAAGATGAAGTTGCAAACCCACGTTCTTGCGTTCTTGTTAAATTGTATTCGCGTTGAAAATGCTAGCACGCAGATAAGTTAAGTGTTTACTTTTTATTTTCTTGATTATTGATTGATTACACAGTCCGAAAAATTTTAACTTTTTTGCCACCTGAGTTCATCGGTTTTTAGATTTTTCGGTGCTGAATCCAAATCTGGCTGCAGAATTTCTCTACCACGTTAGAATTTTGAGATATCCTAACCTCTAAGTGTAAAAACACGGTTTATTATAAAACAACAATTTTTTTCGCTCATTTCTATCATTATCATTAAGTATTACTCTTCCCCTTCAAAATTCCATTTCGTTTGTTGCGATTCGATTGTTCTTTCTCCAGATGTACCAGTTTTAATGACCAGTACTTCGGTATTACTTCGTAAGCATGAATGTGTATTTATTTACACATGTAAATATTGTTTATGTTTTTACTTTTGTTTACTACAAACTATTATAAAAGATAAAAAAAAAAATTAGTGCTTTTAGTGCGGTAAAACGCTCTTTTTTCCAACGTTTGGTGCTTTTTGAAATTCAATGGTTGACAACACTGATAATTGTATTTTATTTGCTCAAGCTAAACATTTGAAAGCATGCATGCGTAGTTGGCAGTGGCTGAGCGTGCAGAGAAGTGTACGCTATTTGTTAGCTTCCAGAGGTGCCAAGTTCGAATTACGTCAGGCGCTTCCTAATTTTATTTTATTTCTTTTGAACCATGAAAAAGTGTCTGTGAAGCGCAGAAGGAATGCGTATTGAACAAAAAATTCAATCAGACAAATTTCAGAAAAAAACAGCCGAAAACGTATCCTTTTCACCAACATTTTCGGTACTTTTCTGTACATACGTTTCTGTCGCACACTTTAGTGGGAAAACTAATCGTCAAAGTATCCGAAAATGGAATCAGTAAACGGACAAGAATCCGCACTTCATCCACTTTTTTGTCATTTTTCGGATCGGTTTTCAGATTTTTTGCTGGCTGGGAAGTGCCGATTGACATCCAATGTCATTTCGCTTGTGACTCGCATGCGATCAAAATGGAGAATATGTATAGTCAAGTATAGCGGCATTCCAAAGTGACGGGTGGGACATTTAAGCTCGTTTTTAACCGACTTCCAAAAAAGGAGGAGGTTATAGTCCGTCGGATTTTATTTATTTAATTTTTTATGTATGTTACCGCATAACTTTGGACCACGTCAATCGATTTCGATAATTCTTTTTGCATCGGAAATGTGCTCAGAGGTAGTCCCATACTAATCTGGTTTAGATCCTATCATTGGATCATGAAATATATATATATAAGAGTGGTTGAAAAATTTTTTTTTTTTGGAAATTCATAAAACTTCCTCAAATTATTGTTATTTGTGATAAAAAAAGAGAAACGTGTTTTTTTTTATTTTGAAAAAAAGTTTTTTTAGAGGTCGCGCTGGTCGGTTTTTTATAAAAACGCTGATGTTCTCAATTTTTCTCTCAATTTGTTTTCAGATTTTCACAATTCAAAATGGTGGATGAAAATTGGCGACCAACTTAAAAAAAAAATTATTGGATTTGTTTGAAACTCTTAACCGCCATTTTGAATTTTGACAACAGATTCGTAATCAGCAACCCCAGAAACACCCTGGAAACGAGTTTCAACCCTTGAAAATGCTTAAAACGATCAGTATCAATGTTTTAATTTTAGTAATTTTTTTTTAATTTGGTCGGCATATTGGATCCGCCATTTCGAATTTAAAAAAATTGACTTTAGATTCGTAATCGGCGACCTCAAAAACCGAGTGCCGGTTTTCAAACAAATCCAATAATTAAAAAAAATGAATCGCCATTTTGGATCCGCCGTTTTTATACCCGAGCGCACTTGTGCACAAGGGTATATTAATTTTGTT